CGTTTAAGATAAGATACGGAGGCGACACCGTCTACTGTATGCAGTGGAATAGTGGAGATAATTGAGGAAACAATGAAAAAACTCGACATATTCGAGATTTCGAGCTATAAACGCATATTAATAGTTTTTCATGTAATTAGTTACCAATAAAGAGATTTTAAGATTAATAAGGAAAGCCTAGAGTAGGTAGGCCATATAATAATAGCGTAATAAATGACGATATAATCTGTGTCATACCATTATCCAAGGCAAGGTATAAAGAAACAGATACATAAAGAAGTATGATATTCTGGCTGTACAATCTACGAAGATCTGGACTACTGAAGGATTTTTTAGCCAATCAGTAAGGTCAGAATAGTTGTGCTAGTGTCTAATATACATACCGGATATGCACTACAACAAGATGTATCTTTGTACTTGTGTACAGGGAAGGCAGACATTGTTCTATTTCAACTCACCTTGTATTATATCTTCAGGATAAAATTGTATAGAAATGTGATTATTAAATATATTTACTGTTGCCTTAGGTACATTATTATTCCAAATTTACCAGAATGGGTATTTCTGATTTATGCAGAATGTGTTTTTTAAATCGATACATTCGTTATATAAATTCTGGTTATCCATAAATCCTATGGCTCTACAGTCGATTTCGAGGCCTGATTTCCTCAGAAAATCACTCCATTTGTTACCATATGTAGCCATTCTCCTCCACGATCGACTGCCAAGAGATTTCGTGCGTCCTCAGCCACATCATCCTCCCATCGCTTTTTCGGTTTACCAATAGGTCTGCTCCCCTTCATTATTGTACCAGTTTTTTCAGAATGTTTGAACATACTGAGATAAAGGTGGCTTTTTGTGTATATTATATGTTTCATAATTATATCTGATTCTCCACCTATAGTTCTCATTTATATGGTCTAATTTGTCTCAGTTCCTTTCTTTCGACGACGTCCTTGCGGTTAAATTCTAGTTATAGTAGTTCGTAAATATTGCTGACCGTATCTGCTACCTATCTTTTTCTCTATTTCTTGAAGGATTTCGTTGTTATCCTTATAAAATCATTGCTTATCCATTTTTTGCTACTTTTATAATGAAAATTCAATAGCAAACATTCTTATAAACATTATTGCAAACATTATTATAGAAGACACTGAGATAAGTTGATAAATATAATGGATGACTGAAAGTAAGAGTTAATACATTGTAGTTTTAAAGGTATTGAAGATACCTATTGAATCATACTAATTTTGTTTGGGTTTAAGCTGAGTTTGATGAATAAATTAAATAAATACTAAAATTATCGTTTCACAGTTAATTCATAAAGATTCTAACGTCCACCTCTGGTTATTTGTCGAAAAAGTTGATGTTTTTCAATTATCTAGTTGTTTTTGCAGAAGTGTTTATACCTTGAATATTTAGTTTCATATATTATTTAACGAGACGTTTAAATGATTACTTAGACAGAATGGTACATACTGTATCCGACAAAGTAGCAGCTGTCTTAATACCTCGAATCGCCCTATAATGAGGACTTATTTGAGGGAGCTTCAATGGAAGTTTCGATAAACAGGTAGTATTCAAGATACCAAAGGTTCTGGTGTGATACCGAGTGTTGGCTAAAAATAAATTTCATCCATATAAATTAAAAATTGTGCACCAACTCAGATGATGACCCTTAGCGAAGACAAAAATTCTGTGAAAATATGTCCAATCGAATTAACCAACAGCCAGATTACATAAAAACAATTTGTTTTAGTGACGAGTGTTTTAGTACTTTTTCCCTGAATGGAAATGTTAACAAATAAACAATGTGAGGTATTCGAGTGACACAAATCATCACTGTCTTTCATGAAAAACAAACTCAATTTCCAGAAAAAGTAAATGTTTGGACAGGTATTTTGGGAAACCACACAGTTAGGCCTATTTTTCTCAATGCTAACGTAACCGTTGAAGTGTCTTTAATGTTACAAAACGCAATTTAGCCGTTAATTCTTGAAATTCTGGAAGTTTCAACAAGGTGGTGCTTCTGTACACTATTATGGTACAGTAAGACGTTACCTAAATAAGGAATATCGTGGTAGATGGATTGGACGACGAGGTTCGATAGAATGGCCAGCTCGGTCACCGGACCTCACACCATGAGATATTTTTCTGTGAAGGTACTTGAAATCTAAGGTTTAAGCTACAGCACACGACAGTTTCGACATTTTGAAACAACAAATTGTTGAGAAATGTAGAGCAATTTCCCCAGACACGTTTGAATGAGTACGAGAAGAGTTTAGCAATACATTTTGACCACTTAAGAACTAATTCTTAAATCCTTACAATCCTTAAAACAAAATAAGTATGATTAGTAGATATTTTTAATACCTTTTAAACGAGATATCAGCTGCCATAAGGTCCCATTTAAAATTATCGATCACAGTGGCTTTTTAACGTCATTATTACGTCACGACTAGTTGAAAAGCCTACATCAGTTTTATTTCCTCCTTTCAAATTTCACTATTATATGTTAACCATTTAAAAGATACGAAGGTGAGAGGGGACTTTAACCATAATATATATTTTATGATGTTTAATGATATCAATATACTGCAATTGTGGAGAAATGTGGAAAATGGTTTAAAGTGAAAGATGGTTACGTCTTGAGATATGGACGCAAATGCTTGTGTCTTTCATTAAGCAAAAGCGCAGTTATCGGATGATTCTATAAAAACAGAGCCTAATATCTCAAAATTGATCCACTCAATCCTTTCTTAACCATGGTTCCATTCATATCCTGTTTTGCTGTCAACTGTCATACGGTGAAAGTCATAAGTTAGAACAATGCAATTAAGAAATGGATAAAATTCTATTTATATTAATAAATTGATGTGACTATGAAATCAGTCAACATACGTTAAAAATATCAAACTTTTGAATATTTTCAGCAACCAATTTCATATTATAATTAGTTTTAATATTAATATTTTAAAGTACTTCTTAAAATAGAAACGAAAAAGTGTTTAAAAAGAAAAAGTCCACTTGCATCATACTACCATTCACCCTAACTACTGCTAAAATATTTATAAAACTACTGCATACACCCAATTTGAAATATAAGAGCGTTAATCAATAAAACTTTCAGACCTGCAAATAACTAGAAACATGTTTACGAAACGATTCAAAAATATCAAATAGTTCCTTGTCGACTTGCAGTCAGATCATCGTAGATTTGCTTCAAAATGTACATTAATAAAAACACATGAGATATACAAATAAAAATGTTAGTGCAAGAAAAACTGGGTTATAGTTGTTGAGTGTTAAGTCACGTTCATACTGAAGGAGTTAATTTAAAATTATTGTTAGAAGCGTCAATTTGAGCAAATAATACAGATGTAATGTTTTTGAAAAAGCTTTTTAAAGTTAATGCGCTGTTTTTAATGTTCATTAAGAAAAAGGTTTCTAAGAATGTCCAATTTGGAAGTAAAATTAAACATATTTTTAAATTACATAAATTTCTTTAAAGTAAATTTGAAATAATATATTAATAAATTGGCCTGATGGAATACTGAAAGAAAATGTTAATGGCTTTAAACCAATTTTAACATTAAACTGTTATTATTATTTTATTAATTATATTATTATTAAAATAATTAATAATTCACAAAACTGTTTCTCAAGTTCCACAGAATATATTAGCTGTTAAAAAAATCTGCTCCACAAGATTTTTAATTTTTAAATATCTACTTTTTGGTATTTTTTTTAAATGTGTACTAAATGTACTTAAATAGGAGCAACAAACTAAACCATATTCAGTGGATGGCTTGCGTAAATGTAATAGGTTCCATGAAAACAACACCAACTGCTGCAATGGAGTTGATCATTGGCATCGCGCCTCTAGATATATATGTCAAAGAGGTGGCGCTAGTGACAATGATGCGACTGCGCTCAGCTGGTGCAAACCTTGACGTAGGAATGGGACAATTGAGAACTCGTTTCTGACGGGAAAAGCTGGATGCGCTACCACAGCTACAGGCAGGCTACGACTCAATTAAACCAAAGTTTGTCTTTAACAAACCCTACAAAATCGAAACAAGGCAGTATAGGGAGACAAACGTGGCAAATGCCTATTGCATATACACCGATGGCTCCAAAATGAAAGAAGGCTCGGGATGCGGAATATACTCCAGATCCCTGAAACTAAAAAAGTGGGGTATGGGCAAAAATGCCAGCGTACTTCAGGTAGAACTGGCTGGTATCTCCATAGCCGCAATAGAGATAACCCAAAAAGGTATAGCAGGGAAAACTATAATAATCTGGACAAATAGCAGACAAGCGCTACTAACCTTGAATAGACCAGTTGTCACATCAGGGTTAGTAATGGAGTGTCACGAGTCACTAACTCAAGCTTCGGATAATAATACCATCATCCTGAGGTGGGTTAAATGACACAATAGGAATAAAGGCAACCGCATTGTTGATCAATTGGCTAGGAAGGCGGCAGGTCTAAGACTCTTAAGACCTGGGCATCTTTTTGGTTGGTCAACTACAACAATTGCGAAAATTCAAATGTCACTACCATACGCAAATCGTAAAAAGATGGGAAGAAGGACAAGGATGTAGACTTGCCAGGGTAACACTAAGTAACCTTGAATAGTCAGCATCAAAGAAGTACTTGGGAATGACCAGGAAAAACCTACACTTGATAGTTGGTTTTTTAACTGGTCATTGTCAACTAAGCAAACACCACACATTGGGGCTAGCAGACATATAAAAACACAGTTTTGCAAAAATATAAGATTGTGCATATATAAAACTAATATTCTTTCATCAAAATTATATTTAAAAACCTTTCTCTTAATGAATCGTTTCTGTGGCTGAAAAAAACATGAAATATCGAGTTCTTACTTTTTCGCATACTCTTTTGTGAATGGAATAGTTACTTGACTAACAAGCAGACTAAGGACCAATATTTTAGAACATGAGGTAACGTAACACATTAGCCAAGTACTTACCGTAATCACCCCTTCCCATCGGCGCTGACCTCATACTTCCTGCTCCTCTTGGGCCTGCAGTTCCAGGGGGACCCCTCATGGGCATAGTTCCAGGCATCATGCTAAAAGAGTATATTTTGTTAACATATAGACACCTAATATATAAATAGATAGTAATGACGAGAAGCCTATTAATCGTGCTAAGGTCCTTAGGTCCACCCAAATGCAACAAGAGGGTCATCGAGAGACTTGAAAACCAACTAGAGAGAATTGCAGACTATAATGACAAATGGAAGATAAAGATCGACACAGAGAACATCAAGTTCATCATATTTTCACAGCAAACCGTGTTAACGTAGAGCGATGATGTCCTATGCAGCCCTAGTATGGAGTTTAAGAGCAGAGACCAACTGGAAGAAGCTTGTAAGAACATAACCGGCATGCTACAGGTTAATAGACGGATCTTCATAATAAGACAGTGTTTCAAACGCAACAATCCAAGAAAGGCTCCAGTAGACAACACTTAGAAAGCTGGCCGTGAAGAGGACCAAAAAATTCTTCCACCATATGACTTCCTAAGACAATGGATATCCTCACCAGAAACAGAGTGCAGAGGATACATCGTAAAACTTATAAACTGATTGACCATTTAACCAGGATCTAGCCAGGTGGTTGTCGAAGACAGTCATGCAGGGAAGTAGATACGGGATCAAAAATGGTACCTACAGAACTATACTATATGTAGTTCGGACAACTAACCTAGAATCGACTACCTAGTACAGAGTAGCAAGTTCAAGTATCTCATTAGTAGCCAAATATAATCAAAATAAATTTGAGGAAAGTTAATTTTGTATGACTCAAAATTAAATCGGTGACTCTCGACGAAAAAATGGTTGGGAATACCTGCTCTAAAAATACTGCGAATGGTATATAAAATGAAGTACATAAATACTGTATAAAAAATTATAATCTAAATTAATGTAATGAACTCAAAACCTGCCTATTGGAAATTTTTGATCATATAGAATGTACAAAGAACTTACCCTCCTCTAACTTGCATCATCTGCATCATCCTTCTTTCTCTGGCTCTAAGTATTTCTTCTTTTTTCTTTTTATCAGAAGGAGGTTTGGCTAGTGACACTTCAATATTTGAACCCCCTAATTCTTTAGAATCTAAGGCTTCCATTGCCTGACACAAATAACAACAGACATTATTAACAATAATACATAAATATTTTTATATAAATAAACACGATGACGTGGACATATAATATGCTGAAAATTGGCATCCGGTTCGTCAGTAAAAACGCTAGAAATTCTTTGTTCGGTGTCTCTGGGGATTCGTTCTTAGATCAGATGCTAACCCACTTTTTAAGTAGAGGGATTGAAACTTTTAACGACAAGCAGTGTAAATGCGTTTAAAAACTCTTTTACTGTTACCCCTAAAAATGATTGACATCTCAATTTTTTGTTCAAGTATAAGGAAAGAATTTCATTCGATTGAAAAATAGACTATGGGTCTAATGGGCTATGGGTCTCAAACTTAGAGGTAAGACCAGAGTTTGTATTAAGGCTGTTTTAGCAGTTCAAGCACACTTGGATTTAAAATGGGCTATCACTTACATTTCTACACTGCTTACGCGAGACTATCGTTACTGAGTGGCGCCGGCCAACGGGTAGTTTAATGACAACAAATGCAACTCCATTCAAATTAGTTTCAACTCGAACTAACTGACCGTACGTTCATGAAATTTGACGTCACGAAGGCGATAACGGTGAAACTAAGCGACATTGATGAGTAACACGTTTCACTATTAGATTTTAGTATTCTTTAGCTATTTTCAGAAAGGTGAAAAAAAATCAACGATTACAGAAAAAAAAACTCTTTCAACTGATGGGCGTAAAAGGTTTGGTTATAATAGAACGTTAAACAGTATAATCCAATTTTTCAACACAAGTTTCAAAAAAATAAAAAAAGTAAAACCATCATTTTAAAAGCAACATAATTTCGAATATTGTGTCCAAATTTCGAGACATTTTGTCGGTAAATAACAGTCCCTAGGTTTTGGTGCACCGATAAAACAGCCTTAATGTCAGTTGTTTATGCCCAATGAATCGTAAAGCTTGATGGTTAATACATGGCTTATTAATTATTTAGATCCAAGATTATTTCTAAATACTTCTCGATTACTTGAGTTTATGTTAATTGTGTTCAAAGAAATATTAAAGAATGCTTCCCCGTATGCGAAGAATCGACTGATTTTTCAAATGAGGTATCGATTTTGATAAATCTGAATTAACTTAGGGATACATTAAATTAAACTGGATATATGCAATTATGATACAGTTTTCAGTTTTTCCTATCGACGTACTCCTCATGAAATGAGATCGAGTTGAAGATTGATTTATATACTATTTAATTATTTATGGTCCAAATTCTTTCCAATGGTTAATTTACTAAAAATCGCTGCCTCTTACAATATTAATATTACTAATAGTCTTTCAGAAATATGATTTTTACTCACCTTAACGGCATTATCCCTATCTTCAAAATGTATAAAAGCGTAATCTTTGATTTTCTTCACCCTTTCTACCTTGCCGTACTGTTCAAATTCTTCTTTTAATTTTTCTTCACTTATTTCCTGTGTTAAATTTCTTACGTAGAGGACCTTTAAATGAAAATAAATGTATTACACACAATTTCATAATAGTGTTTAGACTATAATTTCATAATAGACGTTTTCCCACAACCTAAAATTGATGCTATGAGTATTTAAGTAACATCCAAATAGTACGTTGATACTTTAAGATTTTCTTTCTCACATAGTCATTTGTGTTACTCAACTCTAAAAATTATTTTGATTTAATATGGCTTATCATCTCATTGTGCGTTAAAGTACTATAAAGACTTTTATATTGTACCATAAAGATTACCAAAGTGTAACCAATAAATGATTGAATGTTTATTAAATTCATTTTACATAACCCCTAGCCATAAATTTGGATGTTTTAAACTTGAAGTTCAACTAGCAGATTGCAACCCGAAATCACTATCATTTCGCTTGTTACGCTTCGGTTTCCCCCCAAGACTGTCTGCTGAAACGAGCCTAAACAAAAGCGCAACGGAAAATAAATCCGCGGCGGAAATTGTGGAGGTGGTTTCTTGGAGATGGTTCACAACGATCTCCACTGAATTGTATCAGTCGAAATGGATAGTACAAAGAGAAAAGTCTGTGCTCCATTATTATTAGAGGAAGATGAAAGAGATCAGATACAGATTAATGTTGCAAATTAAAAAAAAAATAAGAAAATAAAGGATTTATTTTTAATTCGATCAGTGGAAGGCACATTTAAGTTATTAATTGAACCTTAATTATATACAATTTCTTCACCTTTAGGGAAACTTAATGATTCGTGATATTTGTACAACTTAATATATTATATCATTTCAATTTGCGAAAAAATTTACCTGGTACTGAACGAATTCGACAACCTAAACCGAAAAGTAAGGCGGCGGAATTTTCCGTCACCGCACATAAGCTTACCACAAAAGTCCTAACCAATAAAATCAATAAACTAACAACTTTACCAGATGAACAATAAGGATTCAGATCCGGAAGATCCTGTGTAGATACCTTATTTGTACTAAGACAAATCACAGAAAAGGTCATCGAGTACAATAAGCCAGCATATCTATGTTTTATAGACCTGACAAAGGCTTTCGATCGCATCCAAGTCTTACACCGACTTTATAAAAGAAACATACCAATCAATATTATACAAACCATCGAAAACATCTACATCTTACATAATCAAACAGGGCAAAGATATATGGAAAATTAACACAGGTATAGCAGTACACAGCGGAGTCAGACAGGGTGACTCGTTAAGCCCACTTCTCAAAGATTAGCAAATATCTTCAATACAATAGTCAAGAAATACAATATGATAATATCAGCAGAAAAAAACAAATGTATGAAAATAATAAAGCAGGAAGCAAGGTTTAGACATCTGGGAATAGATACAACTTGTTACGGAGATGTTGAAGGAGAAGAATTGTACGACCACAAAGCTTAAAGGCAAGTAAAGCGGCGAATCTCTTTATGACACAATCTGAAAGAACAAACTCCTAACACTAGACTCAAAAACAAGAATCTATAAAGCACCAATTGGATCTATATTAACATACACGGCGGAGATAAAACCTGACACATCTAAAACGAAACGAATACTAGAAACAACCGAGATGAAATTACTCTGAAGAATATCAGGGAAAAGTCTGTCGGATAGGGAGAGAAGCGAAAACATAAGAGCATGCAATATAGAAGAATTAAATGGATAATGGCAGAGGAGTGGAACGAATACATTAGTAGAATGGCAGAGGATAGGACAGTACGAATAGCATGAGATAAGTCACCAAATGGAGGAAAAAGTATTGGCAGACCAATAAAAAGATGGTGCGATAATTGCGATACAATCACTTGAAACATTAACTTTTTCGTTTGATTCAGATCTTTGAAAAATATGAAATTAATATAATAACTGGTGTGTCATTTCTATATATAGAATCAACATATTTATCTGTATTGATGTAAGGTAAGGTCTTTTCTAATTGATCACCTATGCCCGATGATAGGCTTAGCTAAATATTTAATATAAAATTATATTAACTTACCTTGACCTTAGACATAGTTTGCGCATCTGGTTCTTCTTGAGGATCAGCCCAATCTACTATAATATCGCAGCCCCAAACTTTAATCCGTCCTGTACCCAATCTTCGTTTCGCTAAAGATGCTGCCTTATGTGATTCATATTCCAAAAAGCAAAATCCACGATTTTTCTTCTTATCGTCGGGCGACGAGTAAATAATAACTTCCATCAGGCCGGCTGTATACATAAATCACACGTTAGTATTTATAGAAAATAATTTTGTGTTCTTAGTGTTTTTGGATGAGCACCAAAGTCCACTACGCTAGAGTTACTAAGAAGCATGGGAATGCAAGAGGACGACATGGTGCGAAAATTTTATAAAATATGACATTAAAAATCGCAAACTGTAAACTGGTAAAATTGAGTCAGAGACCCACATCTAGAAAAATATATAAACCATAATTTACATTAATAAAAATATTGAGTATCAAAAAATCCATCCAATAGTAAATTGTAATAACTGTCTAGTGGTATATTAATCACTCTTTCATGGATATTAATGTGAGTACGTCATAATGATAGACTAAATAAAAACATCAAGAACAAGACGGTCTAAACCATGCATATTATCATTGTGCCATTTTCCGCAAATTCCTTCATTTTTAATACTTTATTATATGCGATTTAATGAAAAATATATTCAGAATATTAACATGAGTAGACCAAAAAAAGTACCGTTTCTAGAACTGAACCAGCCAGACATGACAGTTGTTTTGAGTAGTATGGACCTCTATAACAAGAACCTATATGTTGCCTGCAGTCGATTTTTTGGACTTTTATTAACAAATTAAGGTCAAAAAACTGTAAATTTTCGTTTTTTTTTTTTTCGTCTATCAGGAAAAAGTAAAGCAGGTGAAACAAATTTTAGAAGAAAAGAAACTTATACAGAAGAAGAAGAAACAAATAAGGATAGGAACGTTTACAAAACGCCCTTTTGAAGGTATTTATATGACTTAAGTTTCTTCTCTTCTCAAATTTATTTCAAACGTTTTACTTTTTGCTGATAGAGAAAAAAAGCGAAAATTTACCGTTTTAACCTTAATTTGTTAATAAGTAATGAAGTCCAAAAAATCGACTGCAGGAAAAATGTAGGTTCTTGTTATCCAAAAGTTATACATACTGCTCAAAACAACTGTCGGTTACCTGGCCGGACGAGTGTCACGAAAACAAGGTTACTTCCCTGTGCTAGAGGATAAAAAGCCGGTTTAAAATATGGTAGATAATATACAAAATAATTGAAGATCCACAACTAAAGAACTATTCTACTAAAAGCAGTGTCAGAACATAACACCAGTAGACGCACTATTTTTTTTTTGTGTGTTTTGGCTTGGACAATTGTCATTCAGCCAGTCTCAATCAAGATAAGTTTATTAATGTAGTGTGTGGTGTGTGTGTGTGTGTGTGTGTGTGTTTGTGTGTGTAGAGTAATTGTCTTGATACTTAGCAAAGTCGACGTCATTGTCTTTGCTAAGAGACGCTAATTGTATCCGAACGTCTGCGGTCCCTCCGGTGTGTACCGATCACACAAGGATAGAAATTATTTTCATTTATTAATTTTTTTTTTAATAAACGAAAATTTCCACCCAGGTGGGATTTGAACTCACCTTTAGATTTAAAGGCAGGCGCTCTTACCACTGAGCCATAGAGGGGGTTTGGTAGACGCACTAAAATATAAGCGGGTCTTTCTAACAAGGAACCAAAAAAATAAAAATGGTATTTTGGATACTTTATCAGAACCTAGTAAAGAATGGTGGACACAATAAATCCCATACATCGTTGCGTGATTTATGTTGGAGGTAGGACATATTTATTTTAAGATATTTGAGTAAATAATAATTCTTTGTGGAAATTTAAAACAGTAGTTTTAGGATCTTATTTTTCAAAATTTATTTATATCAATTATTGATAAAAAGCGTTTAAATACCATTAAAATATGTAATATTTTGTTAACTTTAAAGACACTTATTATTGTGACCTTTATTCTGAATATATTTCTTCATCAAGAGGCTGAAATCATCTGTCGCTATAAAGAGTCTTTAACGTAAACTGCAAATTAGATTTACCTCAGAAAATAATCGGATTTGAAATCTGAACATATGCTATGATCTATCATAAAATATTAACAACCATTGACGTTTATTAAAAACGACAATGTTGATGTAGACTTTTGGTATTACTGGAAGCGATACCGAGCCATGATTATTGTAGACGGGTAGATTATCTACAGTTATGTGAAAGGACAAACTTTCAAATTGTAAATCCAATACTTGTACGGTTTACGTGAAACAGCCTGTTAACTAAAACACTTATAACATATGTTCAGTAATATTATGACTAAAAGGAATTATTACCGGTAAACAGTGTCAATAATATAATTTCATAAATGCATTTTTTGGACCGTAATAAATTTAGGCGAAATTAGATTAACTAAGTTGCTAAATATTAAAAAGTTTACTTACCTCTTTTTTTAGAGAAGAAACTGAAGTCTACATCGCAATTTAATATAATTTTATACCGTTTATAAAAATAAATGTTATAATCGGTTATGATTACCGTTTACAGGATTTTAAGACTTATTTTTACCACAAAAATTTAATAAAAATCGTTATTTACATATATTGTCGAATTCAAAACAAAATCGTATGATGTACCAACCAACCCCTAACGTCTGTCACTAAGATGTGGTTTAAACGTGTTTCATTAATATGCCGGTAAAGCGATATAAAATTCATATTAAAGCAGGTCGACGATTAGTCTTAAAGCAAAAAACAATGAGTCTCTTAGAAAGATGTTAATACTATACATGCAATCCAATATAGGGATAGATGGAGAGAATGTAAAGAGCCATACTGGAAGAACGTCAACACTCATAATCAGTACAAATCATTTCATGTTACGATGTACCGATTGGAAGGAACCCATAGTTCAAACTATTTTGAGAGATAATAAATATGGATTCAGGTGTAATGCATCCACGACCGGCCAGTTCTTCTCTGTAAGAAAAATTTAGGGAAGTGGTATGAATATATGAAAACCATTATTAGACCAAGATGTTTGACCTGAATGTGAGAACCTAGATATGAGCGAGCGGCACTGTGATGAGGTATGGCAATTTGAGGACCAGCTTTATTTAAAAAGAAATTTCAGGAGACCAAGGCTCAATTTGGGCTGTATCGTTACAAGAATAAGTTAAACATAATCAGTCTTTTTAATAAAAATAGCTTAGTCCGAAGTTAGTCTCGGACTAGTTAGTCCCAGATTAAGCCAGTACTAACTTCATTTTCAGAATGTTATTAATAAACATGGACTAAGCTCAGACTAACTAAACCTTCCTTAGTCCTAGGTACAACAAGTTTATGTTAACAACCATTGCGAAAAAGAAGAAAAAATGGAGAGAATTTTGTGAAAAAGATGAAAAATATTTGAGAATTTGACAGTTAGCGTAGAGTTAATTTTAGTTGGACTGTGTTCTGAGAAAGTTTGTTTATATTTTATAGTATTTTTTTATCTGAAAAGTTTAAACTTCTTAAAAGTGCAGGAGGAAACTTCAAAAAATATTTATTACAAAGTGAAAATATAAAAAATACTAATAAACATAATGAATTAAATATTTTATTAAATAAATTTTATATATTTTAATGTCTTAGATGAATTTCACTGATTTCTATGGTCATTAAGTTGTTCTATTAATCTTAAGTCGTTGATAAAATAATCTTCCATTATTAAATAATGTATGAATAATCAAAAACAATTCAGGTTAGGAATACCAAACACAAAAAACTCCACTCAATGTCAATTGTCAAGTTAGTCACTCTCTAAACCTGCCACTACCTCGGATTAAATGTTAGTCCGAGACTAGCCAAGGTTTAGCTTAGTCTGTCCTTAGTCGCTGTTTATTAATACGAAAAATGAATGTTTTTGGTATAGTCCTGGGACTAATGTTAGTCCAAGATTAGTCCGTGTTTATTAATAAGAGGGTAAATGTATATGTCAAATTAGGACGTTAATGTGCACCACTTCAGAATGGTATATGACACAATTAAGAGAGAAAGACTTGTGGATGCGTTGAGGCAATTCGGTGTACAATATGAATTAAGTTAGAATGTCTCTAGCAGATATCAAAAGTATTCTTAGGTAGGGGTAGGTTAAAGTCTGTAAAAATCATTGCGAAATAAAATTAGAGTGGGATAAAGAGGAATTCTGTACAACAACTAGAACTTGAAAATCGTTTGGGGGTAACTCAGGCGGCACATCTTTTAAAAAAATTAGTTCAATACCTTATGTATGCTGATCACAATCTAGCCTGTGAAACCTCACATATAATGTGGTACGAAAAAACTTTTATAAAAACATACATTAAAAAACTGGTAAGAGAAGATAGGTACAAAAGCCATACAGAAATGTCATACTGGGCGGTGAAGGCTTCGAACACTGTTCAGTTTCAAATACATGACAAGAGTTCAAACAATGAGAAAATAAATATAAGGATAGAAGCCTCACAAGAATTAACGATAAAACGGGGAGTACGTCAGGGCTGCATTTTGTCACCGACGTTGTTTAATACTTACTCGGAAATGCTGTTCAGATAAGCTATTGATGGTTTAAGAGAAGGTATAAAAATCAATGGTGAAATCATAAACAATTTAAGATATGCGGACGATACGGTTTCGATTGCTGATAATGTGGAGGATCTGCAAAACAGTAATAGACCATGTAGTGGAAGCCTGTGACAGATACGGCATGAAATTAAACTGTAAGAAGATCAAAATTATTGTAGTAAGTAAAAACGACGTAATACAACACCAATTCACAGCTAATAATGACCTCTCGAAAATAGCCGACAAAATTATACATCTTGGATGCAGCCTAATTAAGGAAGTCTCGCAGGAAATAAGATGTCGTATAGAAAAGGCTAGAGCTGTCTTCAATCGCCTCAGGAAGATTTTATGTAATGTGTACCTAAATATTGATAGAACACGAGTCTTCAACTATATATTTTCTACCCTTTATATGGAGTCGAAGCCTGGACCTTGACGTAGGCAACATCCAAACGATTAGAAGCCTTCGAAATGTAGTGCTACCGCCGCTTGCTCAGAATTTCTTACATCCATCACGTTACAAACAACGCCGCAATCCAACGTATGAATAAAGATCTGAAAATTATGCGTATCGTGAAA